GAATCGTTTCACTCGCTTATAAGTCTAAAACCAGTAATAGTGTCGTATGCTCTTTTGCTAAAAACTCGCCTTTCTTTCTTCAGTATGTATTCATGTTTACTTCATCGTTTCTGGAATCAGTAGATATCACGCCTATAGGTCTTCGTCCAGCACTTAGGCAAGCCATAGGGTGAAAGTTTATAAACTGAATCAGATTTTATATGCTACAACCAGCAAGCAGGCCTGATTCGGGCTTCTTATCTAAACTATGTAATAAATCAGTCTACCTCGACCCTTTAAGTTTTAATCAGACCTTAAATAGTACATGCAAGTCGTGCTACATTATGTGCTTTCTTTGGTTTAAAGGAGGTCTGTTTGAGCCCTTTTATTTGTTTATATGCTTCCCCCAAACTTGCTATATGTGTTTTGTTTGTCACCTTAGTATTTTACCTTTTGAAATCACAAATAAGCCCAATACCTCCTCCCTCTAAGATTAGTAGTCCCAAGTGCCTCCGGGGCTGATAGGATTGGGGCGGGTAATAGCATGCAATAAGTAAACGAGACCGTTCCGCGCTTTAATACCTTAACAGAGTGGGAAAGGGTAGATATGGATATGATGACCATGCAATAACATCACGTGTAGCCCCTCACTGAGGAGTGATTACCGGATGTTGTGGGGGGTGATCCATATTATTAATAAACCTAGGAACCCCCTTTCCTTTGTTTTCTTTGTTTCTTTTAAGTCTTTTTAAACTATTGCTTTTAAGAGAATCATTTCTTTTAGTTCCTTTTTCTTACTTTTGTTTATTTGTAACCATTACGTGAAAATTCCCTCTTATTTAAAGCCATTATTTGCCTATGTGTTACTTGCACTAAAGTCACAATAATTGCCTGGCCGGGAACCACACTAGTGGATCCTGAGGGATGCCAACACCTTCCCCTTGGGATAATTTCAAGCCCTTACCCAATCTCTGGTTGTTCAAATCAAACCTTTCTAGTGTCCTAATGTACTTAAATCATTAGGTGGCGACTTTTCTATTCAAACCCAATCTCCAAAAGGAAACGAGTTATCCTTCCAAATGTCATAAACCCGATTTTGCGAGAAAGAGGGGGCATAACATCTATTTGGTCACGCAGTAGCTCGGCAGTAAATAAAAAACACAGATTTTTACGTGGAAAAATCTCAACTCAAGGGGACATAAACCATGACCTACACTTGTAGGCTTTCAACTTCACTAACTTGTAAACCCCTATTACAAGCCACTTTGTAATAACTCTATTACAAAGGATTCAACTCAACTAACTTGTGGTACTCTCACCACAAGCCACTTTGTGACTCTCTAATTATAAATACTTTGACTAACTTGTGATACTCTCACCACAAGCCACTTTGTAATAACTCTATTACAAAGACTTCAATCACTCTAACTTGTAATAACACTTATTACAAGCCACTTTATACTCTCTAGTTATAAAGATTTTAACTTATGACTAAACCTAGTCACAACATAAACTGAAGAGTTTACGGATTTTGGGTTTCTTAAAAACAGCTTCTAAAAAGCAAGATAGGAGTTACAATAAAGAACAAATAACAAAGACTCAACAAACCTAAGGACTTAAGATGTCTTCAATCTTGGATCCGGTCCTTGAGGTTGTAGCAGCTTTGTTCTTGAGAGAGGTTGCGGCAAGCACCTGGGAAAGGATTTTCGTTTTTGATTTTTGCAAGTCTTGGAGAGGAATTGTCTTGTGCCTTGCACCAAGTTTATACTACTAAAGACATCACTTTAGTGTTTTCAATTCTTGGTTAGTACATGCCTCTTCTCAATGGGAAGTGATTGCTGCACTGTCCGCTGAACTGTTGCGTGTACAATTGCAGGCAGTCACTTTCTGCAGTTGCTTTCCAGCTATATAGTTGACTTATACTTCTGTCAGGAGAACACCAAGGGATCAGGTCCCTAATCTGGTTCTTGTGAGTCCAAAGGCACACTGCCCAGGTTATCTTGAGTCGATTAACTTGAATGATTGTACCAGTCATACTTCAGGTCCTTTATCTGGTTCTCTCGTGAAGTAAGTTATTTTACATTCCTTGATTGTATTTATACTTGTGTGACATCACTTACAATGATGTAAACAAGGTAGGTAAAAAGCCTTCCACAGAAAGTTGACTGCTGCACTATTCCTGTACAATAGCGTGTGCAGGCAACAACTTTCTTGCTGGAGAGTTGACTTCATACAGTCTCCTCGGAACTAGTAGGGACCTATTTCCTCAGTTGTTCCTTCCACTCTTCCTCACTTGAGTCATTGCTATCATCTTTGAGTACCAGGTTCTTTTCTTTCTTTGGTTCTCTTCTTTCACTGTCTATCTTCCTGTTCTCGCAGGTCTTCAGATTTCCAACCAGCTCTTCTATGGTCAGCTCCTGCAAGTCCTTTGATTCAGTAAATAGCAGTCACCTTGCTTTTCCAAGGGCTGGATCCCAACCTGGAACTTTGTGATCTCAAGGTCTTGTAAATGTTTAAAGGTTCCTTATCTGGTTCTGGATGGTAAGTTTCTTAGATCATCAAAACACAAAGTAAAGTACTTATGTCCAAGGTACTTGTAACCTATCTATTTCCCCCTTTTTAATGATGACAAACTTAGAATTGATATTCCCCTGAGAACCAGATCTCCACATTGTTCCCCCTACGAATCAACCATATTCCCCATGAGAACCAAACCTAAGGAGCTGATCACAACTGGTTCCTCAAGATTGTTTGGAAAATCATCAAAACTCAAGGTACCATAACTTATCAATTTCCCCCTTTTGATGATGACAAGCCTAAAATTAATATTCCTCTAGAGAACCAGATTCCTCACATGTTTCCTGTGGATCAGATCTATAATCAACATATTATCAGCAACCCCCCTGCGAAGCAGAGCTATCTTTCATGCACAACACAACATATCAATTCTATTCTATTACTCCCCCATGTTGACACCTATATAACTTCCCCCTTTTGGCATAATTGAAAAGAATAACAGAAGAAGCACAACCAAAAAGAAGTTCAGGAACATTAACTCAGGGCACTTGGGCAACACAACATAAACAATAACAAGAACAACAAGTGAATGTCAGTGCACAAAATAGAGTTATTGCCCGTAGTGGATTAATCATAATAAAAGCATAGTAGTTTCAACAATACATAATATGACAATTTAAACAACTAAAGTACCAATGTCATCAAATATAGGGATCAAAAGAAGATAAGAAGTCAAGGGAATTTAGGAGTGAAAGACATGGATCACTGGGCAGGAGGAAAAGTAAGGGGATAAGGCCTTGATGAGTTTGTTCATTCATTCATTTACTCTCCTTTGATCAATGATCATCTTCTCTCTCAGTTCCGCCACTTGTTTCCTCAATCTTTCTTCTCACCCTTCAACTTAGCACTCTATTCTGCCAAGGGTCCTCGAGGACCAGGTTTGCAACCTATCTGAGTAGGTTGCACCATCAATCAGATCACCAAAAATCTCCCCAAGCTTCGTCTCATAAAAAATAGACTCAGTCCCATGCACATATAGCATCATTATATCACGTAAAACATAGAAGTTTTTACTTCTTCTTCATAAACATTGGGACTTGGAGGAACAAAGAAGTGATTCTATTTTTGGAAATCAACAATATCAAGAAGTTCCTCCATTTTTCAGCAATATCAGAGTCAACACTCTGCCTTACAACACATTTTGAGACTTAAACGTGTTCTCCTTCCAAACCTAATGGCTCAACCTTTTGCTTCTATAAGGAACCAAGTTCCTCACTTACACTACCCTTTCTATCCTTGAGCAGTCGTGTCTCCCTCTTCTTTTTCTCAATCTGTTTACCATTATCATCTGCTGCATCTTTCTCAGCCAACACTTTGTTCTCCATTTTGTTTTCACAAATGGAGATTCTTTCACTTCATCCTCTATTCCACAATCACCACATCAGCAGGTTACACTACTTCATCATCAATCAACTTGTTTTTCTCAATACTTTTTACTGGATCAGAGGTTCATTTAAGCATAGAACCCAAGAGAAAAAGATCATCATTAAAATTAACATCCTAAGAAGGATTTTAGGGACCGGGTCCCTCATTCAGTTCCCCTCTTTTTCAGTAGATTCACAAATTTCTTCATCCTTCAAGGCTTCTACAAACCCAACAACAATTTCAGCCTCACACTCTAGAATATTAGATCTACCCCGTTCCTTTTTAGTTAAACTCATTAAAATATACCAAAGACTTCTTGGGGGTTTGATTTAGATAGAGTTAGTATTTTGGAAGGTGACAGAGTTAGGTTTACTTCTGACATATTTGGAGAGAAGGATTCTTTTTGAGACAAGGTTGATTTTGGTTTTGAAGAAAATAATCGGTTTTAATTGGGTGTAAGATAAAGAAGTGGCTTTTTGGGACAACGGGTCAATTCAGAAAAAGGTTTAACATTTTTGGACTTCAAAAGGTAGGAGGAGATGCATGAGAAAGGAAGAAATAAATTAATGACATGACACTTCAGCAGCTTAAAAAGGCATATAAGTATTGGAGAGACTACTAAACTGAGTCACAAGAACCAGGTTCCTTGACGGTTTTTGAAAATTTTGAGCAAAGACCCCTAGAAATGCAATGCCACTCTTACTTGTTTTTGTCCTAAGACTGCCATATGTGTATACCTGTAACAGAATAGATTTGAGTTAGATGTCGCCCAAAAATACTTTTTAGCATTGTACCTTTCCTTCTTAACATAGCCAATCATCGAGGGACCAGGTCCTTAGTTGAGCTTGATCAACCCCAACTCTAGAAGATTTCTTTCACATTGTTCCCTGCTTAGCGCCTTGGTGAAGATGTCTACTACCCGATCCTTTGTCTTTTAGAACTTCATACAAATCAGAACCTTTTCGACATTGTCCCTAAGAAAATGGTATCTAACATCAATGTGCTTGGTTCTCTTGTGTTGAACCGGGTTCTTTGCCATGTTGAGAGCACTTGTGTTGCTACATAGAAGTGGTACACAATCAGTGTATACACAAAAATCTTCCAATTGTTGCTTGATCCAACGTGAATGAGCACGAGGCAGCTGTAACATATTCTCCTTCAGCTATTGAGAAAGCCACTGAGTTTTGTTTCCTTATACCCCATGAGCTAAAACATGATCCAAGGAAATGAGCCATTTCAGATGTGCTTTTCTTGTTCACCAGATAGCCTGCATAATCAGCGTCAGTATAACCAATAAGGTTGAAATTGCCACCTAAAGGATAGTACAGAACCAGGTTCTGTGTGCCCTTAAAGTATCTCAGAATTCTCTTAGCAGCCTTCGGATGAGATTCCTTAGAATTTGATTGGAACCTTGTACATAATCCCACACTAAATACAATGTCTGACCTGCTGGCAGTAAGGTAGAGTAGAGATCCAATGATTCCCCTTTGATGCTTCCATATCAAACCTTTTCAAGAGTTCTTTGATTTATTTCTGCTGACTGATACACGTTCCCTTTATGGACTGCTTCACTTTAAGACCAGGAAGACATTCAGTTTCCCCATCATACTCATTTCAAACTCACTTCCTATGAATTTAGAAAATTCTTCACATAATGAGTCAGTTGTATCTCCAAATATGATGTCATCCACATAAGTCTGAACAATGAGCAGGTTCCTTCCCCATTTCTTCAAAGACATTGTACTGTCAATCTTTCCTCTTGTGAAGCCATTTTCTAAGAGAGACTTGGATAGTCTTTCGTACCAGGCTCTAGGGGCCTGCTTCAATCCTTACAGTGCCTTATCCAATTTGAATACATGTTCAGGATGTTCATGACGTTCAAAACCTGGAGATAGCTTGATATAGACTTCTTCCTTGAGAAAACCATTCAGGAAGGCACTCTTCACATTCCTTTGGAATAGGGTGAATTCCATATGTGAAGCAAGGGAAATGAGGATCCTAGTAGCTACCATGCGAGCTACTAGGGCAAAGGTCTCATCATAATTGATCCCTTCCTCCTGATTGTATCCTTGGACAACAAGCCTTGCTTTGTTCCTTGTAGTATTTCCATGTTCATCCAGCTTATTCCTGAATACCCACCTGGTCCCTATGATGGTTCTGTCTGAGGGTCGAGGTACCAAGTGCCATACCTTGTTTCTTTCAAATTGATATAGTTCCTCTTGCATTGCAATGGATTTCCCTGCACTCCTTGTTCTGCTACTTGTGGGGTACCTTGCACTGCATCTCCAACTCTTTCTTCAGCTTCAGTGGTAGTAATTGGGGTACCAGGTTCCTTTTGAGAAGTGGAAGAGGATGTGACATTGTCTTCACTTGCCTCCTTCATCTGGCTCATCATATCAGCCTTACTTTTTTGAAACATCAGATATTTCCCTTAGCACATGCATCACACACTCTTTGCTCTTTGAAATTTGAATTTGGTAGACCACGAACCAAGTCCTTCCAGCAAGCTATACTTCAACGTCTTCACGAAGTACGCATTTTCAATAGAGTGGGAAAGAGACTTCTCGATCCTTCCAACTCCCAAAATGTATCCCTTCTTGCCATTTTCGAAGGATACACTCCCTCTTTGCAGGGCCTTCAGTGAAAGGAAATTATTTGTTCTTCCAGTCATGAGTTTCGAGCAATCACTATCCATGTACCACTGTTGACTGCTCCCTTTCACTATTCCCTGTGCACTAAATCAATGATTAGACTTAGGAACCCAAGCCAGCTTGGGTCCTTTATAATGATAGAACAGGCGGATCAAACTTCTTTTTGCCCATGCAGGCAACACATATTTTCTTTTCTGGGAACCAGGTTCCTCATCAGTACGCCTCTTTTCAACAAAAAACTTTATTTTTATGCAAAGATTGAGTTTTAACTTTACAAGAGTGCTTGTAATGACCAGTTTGACCATAGTGAGTGGACAACCTATTATCAACTACAATTACATACTTTCTATGGGGATTATAAGAGGTTTTAGCCTTTTGAAACCCGATGCCTTGCTTGTTTCTACCATTACTCCTGTATATAGACGTTATCACATCAGAGGACCGGGTCCATTTTAGTGACTTATCAAGATCATTTTTAACCCTTTTTAAATCCTCCTGAAGTTGTCTATTCTTTTCAAGCTCAACAACAAGACTTGTTTTAACTTTCTTAAGCTTACTCTCAAGCTCAAGTTGAGCCTCTCTTGCCACTTCCTCTCTCTTTCAGTGTTGTCCATCCATTTTTTTGTTTGCTTTTTCAATAATTTATGTTCTTTAGTTACTTCTTACACTTGTTCCCTTAAATTTTCAATGGAAGCTACCATATCATCCCTTTCTTGCTCATTAGCTGCAATTTTCTCTACTAGATTATTCTTTTCTTTGCTAAGGTTCTCTATGGTTTCCTTCAAGTCAACAACCACTACCATCAAATCATCTCTAGATTGTTCAGCATCTCCTAGCTCTATGATTAGGGCATCATTATCATTAACAAAACAATAATATGTATCAATTAGAACATTTGCTAATGACATCAATTTCTTCGAAGAGTAAGACTTCAGATTTCTCTGAACATCCCTGAAATTTACCTCATCATTGTCATCCTCATCGGACTGAGCCATCAATGCAAACAATGAATCATACTCCTTTGCTTCATTTTGTACTGGCATCATGAAGCTGCTTTCTACATCTGGTTCCTCTTCTGATTCACTGGAGGAGTCTCCCCATGCAGCAAGAGCTTGCTTTACAACATTGTCAGCTGCACTTTTTCGGCTGAATCGTTTGTCAAGAACCGGGTTCCTTTTTGCTACTTTGTCAGAGTTGTGTTTGTAATGCTCTTGTTTCAGAAATGGGCAGTCTTTGATGAAGTGTCCAGGCTTTCCATACTTATGGCAACAATCATTTCCTTTGAAATTCCTGTTGGAACTTCCTTTCTTTGGGATCCCACCATTTTTACGAACCATCTTCTAAAATCTTTGTGGTCTATTGGTTGATTGACTTTCCTCGAATTTTGGTGGAGCAACCATCTAGATATAGGTATTAACCTTTTAGAAAGAACACGCTATGATACCAATTGTTAGAAACTAAGCGTCCACCAGACTGTATAGAGAACCGAATTCTTTATGCGTTTCCACTGAAAATACTAATGAACCAAAGTGTATAGCGATCTGGTCCTATATAAGTTTGGTACAGTGCTAACTACTGAACAAGTATGTAAATGAATCATAGGATAAGTTCCCACTGTAAGCAACAGACTGTAAAACCAGCCAGTATAGGGAATCAGGTTCTCTATTTGGTCCTACAGTAGCTCGGTAGTAAATAAAAAATATTGAGGATTTTTACTGGAAAAATCCCAACTCAAGGGGACAAAAACCACGACCTACACTTGTAGGCTTTCAACTTCACTAACTTGTAAACCTCTATTACAAGCCACTTTGTAATAACTCTATTACAAAGGATTTAACTCAAATAACTTGTGGTACTCTCACCACAAGCCACTTTGTGACTCTCTAGTTACAAAGACTTTGACTAACTTGTGATACTCTCACCACAAGCCACTTTGTAATAACTCTATTACAAAGACTTCAATCACTCTAACTTGTAATAACACTTATTATAAGCCATTTTATAACTTTCTAGTTACAAAATTTTTAACTTATGACTAAACCTAGTCACAACATAAACTGGAGAGTTTACGAATTTTGGGTTTCCTAAAAACAACTTCTAAAAAGTAAGATAGGAGTTACAATAAAGAAAAAATAACAAAGACTCAACAAACCTAAGGACTTAAGATATCTTCAATCTTGGATTCGGTCCTTGAGGTTGCAACAGCTTTGTTCTTGAGAGAGGTTGTGGCAAGCACTTGAGAGAGGATTTTCGTTTCTGATTTTTGCAAGTCTTGGAGAGGAATTGTCTTGTGCCTTGCACCAAGTTTATACTACAAAAGACATCACTTTAGTGATGTCAAATCTTGGTTAGTACATGCCTCTTCTTAATGGGAAGTGACTGCTGCACTGTCTACTGAACTGTTGTGTGTACAGTTGCAGGCAGTCACTTTCTGCAGTTGCTTTCCAGCTATATAGTTGACTTATACTTCTGTCAGGGGAACACCAAGGGATCAGGTCCCTAATCTGGTTCTTGTGAGTCTAAAGGCACACTGCCCAGATTATCTTGAGTCGATTAACTTGAATAATTATACTAGGCATACTTCAGGTCCTTTATCTGGTTCTCTCATAAAGTAAGTTATTTTACCTTCCTTGATTGTATTTATACTTGTGTGATATCACTTACAATGTTGTAAGCAAGGTAGGTAAAAAGCCTTCCACAGAAAGTTGACTGATGTACTGTTCCTGTACAATAGTGTGTGCAGGCAGTAAATTTCCTGCTGGAGAGTTGACTTCATACAGTCTCCTCGGAATTGGTAGGGACCTGTTTCCTCAGTTGTTCCTTCCACTCTTCCTCACTTGAGTCATTGCTATCAGCTTTGAGTACCAGGTTCTTTTCTTTCTTTGGTTCTCTTCTTTCATTGTCCATCTTCCTCTTCATCTTGTAGGTCTTCATATTTCTAACCAGGTCTTCTATGGTCAGCTCCTGCAAGTCCTTTGATTCAGTAAATAGCAATCACCTTGCTTTCCCAAGCGCTGGATCCCAACCTGGAACTTTGTGATCTCAAGGTCTTGTAAATATGTAACAGGTTACTTATCTGGTTCTGGATGATAAGTTTGTTAGATTATCAAAATACAAAGTAATGTACTTATGCCCAAGGTACTTGTAACCTATCAATTTCCTTCTTTTTGATGATGACAAACTTAGAATTGATATTCCCCCTGAGAACCTCTCCACATTGTTCCTCCTACAAATCAGCCATATTCCCCATGAGAACCAAACCTAAGGAGCTGATCACAATTGGTTCCTCAAGACTGTTTGGCAAATCATCAAACTCAAAGTACCATAACTTATCACACTAGCTGCATGTCCTCTTTGTTTCTTCACTCCATAATCCCATAACAATATACCATATCGGTTCCGTATCCCATCAATATCAATAGCTTTAGAATACTACTGCCTTGAATGATGTACTCAGCAAATGCAGCAACATAAACACCACAACCACTACATACAAGGTGGCACATAAATGTCAAATAAGTTAGTTTAATATCCAAATAGGAATTAATGTACAAAAAATGAATAAGAATCAGAAATATTCAATAATAATTTACGTGTTATCTTGCGTTGGCAACCCATCAACGACATGAATCTCAAAAGGATCAATGATGGAGATTCCCATAGAATTCTCCTTTGTGTCCCAAAAACCAATACAATGAAGAAAATATGGGAGCAACACTGAGTATGGCTCAACTAATCTTCGAACTGCACTATTCTACCGCGCGCCACTCATGAAATCGTATACATAAATGCGCAGATCTTTGAATGATAATCTCGCCAATATCCAGTGCCACTTATCAGACAGATTTGTAGGGAAAAGGACTTCATCAACTGTAGACCAAGGAACATTACATCTTAAAAATATCCAAGTATATACTCAGCAATTGAATCTGTTTCAGTAATCAAATTCATGTCTCTATTTTTCTCTAAAAACTCCTTGTACAAATTCGAAATCAAGCAGTTAAACCAACAGTCAGTAGTTGTGAATCTTACTAGAACATCAGCACTGTACTTCCCTTTCTTTCTCAAATAGTAAAAAATAACATCAA